GTAGGATTTTGGACAACTGGCGCCATGCTGCAATTCGGGCGCCACTTTCAAATACTGCATTTTTCAGTTCTGCCCTCGGGGCCTTTGCAGAAATGCCCCTGGTACCGTACGTGTCACCGGTACTTATACCGGCTCCCCGTACGGTACGGGCACCAGTCTCGTACGAGTTCTCTGCTGCTGTACTTGTACTCAGTGTGACTTGCCGTTTCGGCATTGGGAATCCAAGACTTCGACTTTGTGCCTTGCCACTGTGTCTGCGTCCAACCCTCAGTCCGAGTCCGTCGTGTCGAGTGAGTGAGTGTGTGTGTGTGCTCTCACTCTCTCCCTCTCTCTCTCCTCTCCCTCGGCTCACCCTCAGCCTCACTCTCGTTACACTGAGGGACGCAGGGCCTGGAAAATGGCCCTCGTGTGCAGGCGCAGCATGTAACAGTACACCTGAAGACCACCCTTGCGCCTCACTGTACAACCAAGCCCTCAGCCAGCTATGGAGGCTGGGCTATGGTGCTGCCCTCAGCAGTGCCCTGCTTCCACACACGACCGCACGTGCGCAGCACCTTGCTCCAGCGCTAGCAGCCAGCACGCGAGCAAAAGCTCCAGTAGCGCTGCCGCCAGCCAGCAAGTGCCTGAATAAGGCTCCACGCAGCGAGCTCTTTCCTATATGGAAAGAGCCTGCCTGCCTTCGCAGCCTGGCTGGCCCGGGCCCGGGCCCAGAAGCTTCCGGTAGGCCCCAGGATGCTGCGCCTCTGTTGCAGCTACTGGGCCTCCCAACTGTCTGTGTATGAGCCTGCGATTCTCGTCCAGGGCCTGCATCATTTGGAAAGGCCTGGAAGGCCGTGGAATGTCTCGCTGCTCGGCCTGTGTTTCCCTCAACCAACTGGCGCGACGAAACTGCCTGGACCCCAAATACGATATTGACAGCTTAGGGCCTCTCGTGATTTGTTAGGCCCGCCTTCACTTAGGGCAGGCACATCTGCCGCAAGAGGCCCCTTAGGCCTGCCGAGGACCCAGATCCTCGCAGCTGTATGCGACAAATTTACTTATCGTGTATGTGTCAGGAAGGCATTCAGAATTTTGCTGCACGTTTGTTTTCATTAAAAAGAAAAAAAAATTCCTAAACATAGCATCAGGGTAGCATGTTCACACTCAAGGAGTCGTATAAAAATGACAATGACAAATGATGACTAAAGTCTATTTACTCCCATATACATATATCAATCAGCACATCAAGAGTTCAACACCCGCCGGAATTATGTCTCCTAGGATTACCATTCATGGGTATGAACTATGAAGTAACTACGAACCTGAGCAATGTACTCGGCCAAACCATGCGTCTGTGGAGACGCGCAAAAGAGAGATGACACATTTCATTTGCCCATGCCACGTTGAATGCCATAAATGCAGATCATTCGAAAAAACAACAGTGTTCACGAAAACAAACAAGAAAAGGGACAGTCGGAAGAGGAAAAGTTGGTCAGTAAAAAGACCAGGAAAAACCAAAAGTTTTCTGACAATGATGAGCACAGGAAGGCACCTGAACCACAGGTTTGATATGGATAAAGCCAACTCTCTTACTCTTTTCTTTTTTTTTCTTTTTTTTTTATGAGAGTCATCCTTGCGCAGGGGCCATGCTAATCTTCTCTTTATCGTTCCAATTTTAGCGGATGTCCCGAAGGACGCCAACTCTCTTACTCTATTTATAGATAATAAAGTCAAATTCTCTGACTTCAGGGTATGGGGAAGAATGCATGGGTATCAATTCAACGGTGATGATCGCTTATTCAGAGCATTTTCTTTGTTTTGTTTTTTCTTTTTTTGTGCTGAGGACACGTACTTTCTAAGTTTCTATAGAAATTACCAAATACGTGGTAGTGTGGGGAAGTGGGGAGGAGTGAATCGCTGTAGTTGAAATCACCCTGAAGCTAACGGACAGGCTGAGCAAATGAACAGACTAGTACAGCAGCTTCTGCGTTATTTCATTTCTCATCATAAGCTTCATTGGGCAGTCAAAGTGCCTCAGACAACTGGAGTGTACAATAATACTACAAGAAGGGCAAGTGCGGCTTCGCCCACATGACATAGTAGGTCAGAGCCTGATCGCATCACTCTTGACACACGAGGACAGTGAATCGGTTTTTTAACAAATAACACGCAAATGCATACCTATGTGTAGTTATCCATCCAAGGAAAAAGGTATCACATAATCCCCACTTTTATCCAATCATGCACATGAAGAGAGAGAGAGAGAGAGAGAGAGAGAGAGA